GATTACTTTGGCTACTGCTGCCGCTCAGCCAACAAGCCACAGATACTGTGACTCAGTCGTGGTTTGTAGGAATTTCTCTTTTCTGTCTCCTGTTTGTGAACTCGGTTTGTAATCCATACACACCAATGAAATGACCTGCAAAGACCTGACTTCAGATGGATGGCAACCATCTAAACTGGATGGACATCATGCTGAATTGGCACAAAAAATCTCTTAAACATTCTTTGGAGATTAAATTGATCAAAAACGTGTAGAACGATCTGAACAGAAGCAGCGATCGTGTCCGTTTTTATATTTAGTAAAGCTATAAAGCTCTCACGCTCTTTTTAGCCTTGTTTATGAAAGTGAGCCCGACTCACGCCAGTTCCTTTATCTCTCCAACAGAGAGTCTCACATCAGGAGATGCTACAGACGGTTAAATTGATGTAAAAGGCTGTCATGCCTTTAAATGACATTTTTTATTGCTGACTATGCAGTCGTGTTCTGCACTCTTAACTTTTGCCATTCCAGATTCTGGCGAGTGAGGAGGTCACAAAAACATTTTTATCCTCAGGGGGTCAGACTAAAGAACCACAGGGTTTATCTTTCTCACCAATCTGTGTTACTATATGTAACTTAAAGTTGCTACTTTGGTTCCACGTGGTGTTGTTTTTCACAGGGACCTCAAGGGCCCGTAGGAGAAGTTGGCCCTTCTGGACCCCCAGGGCAACCTGGTCCTCAAGGACCCAACGGACTCTCCATTCAGGGGCCTCCGGTAAGACTTTACTGGCGTAAAGGTGGATTTTTCCACAATTGCTTTAGTGTTGAAACTCGCACAACTTCCTGTAATAACAAAAATAAAACTTTGGGATCAAGTAACATATTAAGTTTTGTCATTCCCAAGCAGCACTTTCACTGAATTATGATAACCGGTCACTGGACGTGTGCTTTTTGCAGTTTGTTCCCATCTTTCTTCAGCAAGTTCAGAAATGTGTGCAATTATGACTGCACTTGATATTAAGCTGTCTACCACCTGCCATTGTGAACTGACAAATGTTGACATATGCCTCAAATAGACTTCCAGACATTTCTCGGATCTTGTCCAAAGAAATGGCCCGGCATCTTATTAAGATAACTGATGTTGGCTTTTCCAGTCCGTGGCTATCACGAGGCCCACGAGTCCAGCCCAGCCGCAGTGACATTGTTTGTTTTACAGGGAGCTCTTGGGGAGAAAGGAGAGAGAGGAGAGATCGGACCTTCCGGACCAATGGTAAGAACATTTCCCAAAAATGGTCACTGTTGTAAAACATAGCAGTAAAGTGTGTTTTGTGGCACGCTGATCTGATTCCCTACGTTACAAAGTACAACACGGAGAGGGAATTACTTTCCACCCTGCCTGAAACACAATGTTTTCCTCCTGTGTTTCTGTCTTACTTATAGGAGCTAAGTACTATTAAGTATACCCAGCTGTGTGTGTGTGTGTGTGTGTGTGTGTGTGTGTGTGTGTGTATGTATGTGTGTGTGTGCAGAATTGAAATGAATCTTACATCTAATAAAAGGTGCCCTGGACCTGTACGCTCACAGAAATGAGACGTGTTACTCTATAAAAGCATATTTCTGTGTTTTCATTTGATTTTTTAAAATTATTTTTCTTGTTTCCTCGATACTTTCGGCCATTCTTACTAGAGGTGGGAATCACCATACATCCCACGATACGATATTATCACAATACTTAACGCACGATACGATATTATTATATTATTTTAAAAAATATTTTGCAATATTCAGATTCTGTACATAAAGGTAAACTTTATTAATATTCATTTTATCTAATAACAAAGTCTCACACTCAGTCTTTCTCTCATTTCAGTTTTATTGTTGACAAACTGAACGGTTTGTATTACAGTCTAGTCCAACTTAACTGAATGCAACCATCTGGTACAATTATAGCTATTCTGAACTATGCAATTTGTGAAAACTATGCAGCCCCTTCAGCAACTGAAGAATTTGAAAGTAAATTAAAACAAAATATAATTTTACATTAAATAAAAAAGTTTTAAACTTATTTTAATTTAAGACATGTTTTATTTTAATTAAGTAAACTGTCATGTTTATTGTTGCCATAAAAAAAAGTTAAACACATTTGGACAGTGAAGGAATGTCAGGATTCTTGCTCAGAAAAAGGATCTGATCAACATGCTCTGAAGTCAGAGCATGTTCCAGTCCACAAAAACTTTTTTTGTAACAAAATATTGATTTCTGCTGTCCCTGTATCGATACATTATTAGCAAACAAAATATCATGATACTACACAGTATCAATTTTTTCCCCCACCCCTAATTCTTACTAAGGCTGACATGGACTCAGTGTGTTATTTCTGATGAACTTTAGCAGATAACTTAGTTAGGGATAAATAAAATGTTTTACCAAAATTATTAGATCGCCAGTACATATCTAATGTGATAGATAAAGTACACTGGACTGAAAAAAATCCAAAATGACTTGCCTGTGTAGCCAATATTGGTGACATGTTTGCCAGGCCAGTGCTGACAGGGCAAATTATTGGTTTGTTTAGAACTACTGTGGCCTCATTTGATCAGTTGTAGACACAGTTGTTGTGTTGCTTCTGATCATTTCGTAATTACACTATGTAAATGAGCGGGAGAGAAGGGAGGGGAGGGGGGGGAGAGAAGTGTGATTAACTCTGATTAACTTGTTACAGTGGCCCTCTTCAGGGAGGTGGACACATTATAGCAGCTCTTAGAGGTGATGTTTTGAAACCAAGATAAATGTCCAAGTGTGAAGATCTCAGCAACATTTACTCAGACTCAGCTTTAATTGTCAATGAAATATGTGACATGATACAAATGAAACAGTGCTTTACAGTAAGCCTCAGTATATGCAGCATTCTACAGAACAATAGGTAAAACAGCTGAAATAAATAGAATAAATACTCAAATAAATGTAAACCTAAGTACTGAAATAACTAAAATATAAATAACAGATTTTATAAATTACTATATGGGACAGTGTGTGGCAGGGAACAGCAGCAACTCAAGGAGGTCAGTGCATGGTCCAGGGTAACAGCAAGGGCTGAACTTGCTTCTCTTGTGGGTGTTTCCGGTTTAATACCTGCCAAATGTGGTCCAAAGGAAAAAAGGTTAGCCTGGTCTGATGACATCATGTAGACGCAGCATGGCTTGAGGCTCTGGGCAATATTCTGCTGGGAAACTTTATCTGGATGTTACTTTTGCTTGTACCTAAACACATAACCCCCAGTTTCATTACAGAGGTACACCCTGACAGCTGTAGGGTGTCAACTTGGCCACCTTATTTCCCTGATCTCAGTCAGGCTGAGCATCTGTGGGATGGGCTGGAATAACATGTCAGATCCAAATTACAGGACTGGAAGGATCTGGTCTTAATGCTAGTGGTTGGTGGGTTTTAGTGTGTGGGGGTGTGTTTTAGCAGTCTACACATGCACATGGTCATGATGCAGTCTAATGGAATCAGTGAGATGTGAATAATCATCACAGGCGTCTCCATTATTCTGCACTGAACCAATCCAAAGTAATACTGAATTAATTTAATGGTGTTCTACTGGGAGCCCTGGACATCAGCAAAGACACAGTCATTGTTTCAGTAGCTGTGTACCAGGAGACGCTTATTTTTCAAGGAAGAATATGTCACTTCTGTGCTTCTTTTAATGTATCTGTATTATAATAAATCTGTATTTAATCAGATTCGGGTTAGGTCACTGTGGAAGGTCATAGACCCAAACCACTAATATACAATGTCTCCATCACTTCAGAGGACATTACTTTTACTGCCCCCCACCCCAAAAACCTCACCCTACTACAACCTTGGATCAAGTTTGCACCATAAAATTTAATGCTATGGTATAAAGACTTGGTATTTAGCCTCCAAAGGGAAATAAGTCTTAAGAATGTGACTATGTAAACAGATTTATGTCCCCAGCAAAGGTAATATACACGCACCACTCCTGAAAACAGAGCTAATCAGTCTAATTAAGTGAAAACAACTGTGAGGGTGAGTAATGGGTGTGTAAGCTGAGCTGGAGTCTGAATCTCTGCTGTTTTGCAGCTACACTGGTTAAATATTAAACGAATCACTTACCTGCAGGAGTCTGCAGAGAGTTTCACTATTGTAGAAGTGCTTCTTGACAGACCGTTTTTCTAATTTTTTCAAGTTAGTTTTTCTGTTTTTAGCTGATAAATAAAAAAAATAATACCTGGTGATGTGCATGCATTTCAGTGAACGAAGGTTTGCTGAATTTACTTTGTTTGAAAGCAAAGAAAACGGATGGTGTAAAAGTTTTGTCTCACTTCCTCACACTTGTTCGCACTGAGCTAAAGCAGCTCCTGACGCAGCGCTTTCCGCTCCGCTCTGTGCGGGCCCGCCTGTTGTAGAAATGGTTAGTTATTAAACTTATGAACTGGAACAAGAACACAGATAACGCTTTTAGGCTTCTGACTGGGAGACTGAGAAAATCTATTGACATTTGAAGTGGCCAAGAACCCTTTCAGGCGTGTAGTATTTATCTGGATGCATCAGCTTTGGTGAAGAAAAGAAAATGCGTTTCAATGCATTTGAGATGTAGTATTGATATAATATATGAGTGTCATTTATTAGCACATGAACTAACATCTAGAGGCCTTCTGTCTTGTGTCTTTGCAAACCATATCTCCAGACATTTACGGGGATAAGAACGTTTCAGAGAATAATTTGATAAAACTTAAACTTAAATTCATTACAACAGCTGCAATCGAGTTGTACATGCAGAGCTGACAATGCCAAGGTTTTGATTTTGAGAGATGGCTTCAGCACAGAGCAAAAAAAAAAGGAGCAGTCTTATATTTTATTTATTTTTATTTTATTTTTTTTACATCGCTGAGCACAATTTGTTACAGTCACTGTTGCCATCTTCCCCCTGATCGTGTCACACTCGTACATTGATCTGCAGAGCACACAGGCTCCATGTTTGGACCGTCGTTTTCTAATGGTTTCCTTCAACAGTTGAATCAGACGATTTTGTTCGGTACTGTAAGAATGATTAAATAATTAATAATTCTCAGGGGTCAATTAAAGCCTGGGTAGTCAAGCTAATGGCACTCGACATCTTTGCACACAACAGGATATTTAACATAAGAACTCTTTTTAATTTTGCACTTATACTAAAGCTTGATTGGATGGGGGTGCTGGATTGTCTCCGACCCAGCGCTCTGAGTACATTTTGTATTTGTCTCATTTTAGATTTGTGATTAGTTCATGTGTCATTCCTATTTAGCTTTTCGTTGAGGTTAAAGGCAGTCATTATTTATTGTTTCCTTGGTTTCTGTGTTTGGGTTCTTATGTCGTTCATCACGTGTTAGGTCTATTAAGCTTGTGTTATCATGTCTAGTTTCAGTGTTTCCGGTTTTATTTTGAAGGAGTTGAGTGTTCTTGGTTCACTGCATTTAGTTTCACTTCCCCTGTCCTGTCATTAGGCTCATGTCTTGTCTTGCCTTTTGCCTTTTGTTTGCAGTTATTTTGCCAGTTCAATAAACGGTTCATTTTTGGTTATTCAAGCACATTTTGTTTCGTCTGCATTTGGGCCCACGTTTCACTCTACACGCAGTCAGCCCTGCTGATTGTGACAATTTAAATTCACCTGCATTTCAATGCCCAACAAATTGCAAATTTTCATTTTCTGAAAGCATTTGAAAATGTTTTCTATTTGTCCCCCCCAAAAAATGTTCGTTTCTATTAGTTTCATTTTCAGAAGCGTAGCGAAACGTTAGCCACTCTCAGGGGGCGAGAACAACTAGCCTCCCAACGAGCTCACAGAGAGCTTCAGCAGTCCTCGATGCGGCACTATCTAGCGCTCTCTGTGCCTGCATAGCCCTATTAATAAAAGCTGGCAGTGCTGCCCTGTGCTGCACTATGTTACTGAGTAATAATGTGTTTTGTCACAGCAAGGAATATGAATGGGTGTGTGTGTGTGGCTCAGTGGGGGAATAATGTAGCTTCCAGGGCCCTGTTGTAATATACGAGGGACCACAGAGAGTATCACAACTCTAAAGCATCAATTACCTCAGTCTCTCTCTCTCCCCCTCTCGCTCTGTTTCTTCCTGCAGTAAATACAATGTAACCTTGTCGTCAGCGTCCCCTCCACCTCTGTTTCAATTTGACAATGAAAAATGCAGCTGCATTGAAGAGCGGCGACTGTGTGTTTGTGTGCGTAGCCGTCTCTCTCATCTCTCGCTTTCATTTTGTTTATCGGCGCGCATGTGAGGTTTTGTTATCGACTAATAATTTTGGTTTTGTCTGAGAGAGGGATGCGGGTTGTTTTGGTATAGGCAATCATTTCAAATTGGTCTCATTCTTGATCTTGTGCGGATATATACGGTTGCCCCACATGACCCCCTCATCTCAGTCCTTTATCTGCCGGACACCAAGGAAATTTACAGCTGTGCATTCCCGTGTGTGTGTAAATCCCGAGGCTAATGTATTGAATCAGAATCACTCGCACACTCCAATTATTAATTTCTTTGGCCTGCCTGTTCATTTTATTCTCAGGGTGTTGTGAATTATGCAGCATTTATCAAGAAACAAAAGAATATTTTAATATTTTATGATCAAACACTGAATATTTTATAGTTAGACTATAACTGAAACTTAAAGCTTTTTTTCTTAAAAGTGGTTAAAAAAAATCGGTACAGGTAGAGAAGTTCAGAAAACTGTTCCAATAAAGTTTGACTTGACTGAAAAATTTCTTCAACTGCTCTCCAAAAAGCCTAAATGGGACAATGGAAAATATGAATAAGTATGCAATACCATTATATCCAAATTAATTAAACTCTCTATTAAATGTAATGATACAAAAACAGCCTATTTAATGTTGAAACTGACATTTTATGTGTTTTCAACACGTATGTTTAATTTGAATGTTATACTGGGAACTCCTTCAAAGGAAAGTCAAGACAAAAGCAAAATTAATAATAATAATAATAAAAATAAAGACTTGAAAACCTCTTTACCATCAGTAAAACAGAGCAATCTAAATTTGCAGTTCGAGTATTTTATCTTGCACAGTATATGATATCTTTAAAAGATTAAAATAAAGCCAGTAATAAATCGCTGTGATCTTCAGGGCCTCAGACAGTGTTGTATTATAAACACAGCTCAGTTCTGTCCTGGAAATCACTGCATGTGGTCAGGAGGACATCCTAAAGCCTGCCCGAGAACAGAGTTAATCACTATCCACAAATGCAAGCTGAAACTCGATCATGCAGAGCAAAAAATGTATTGAAATAACATTAGCCTGAGCTAATTTCAGAGACTGATGTAAAGTGGAAAACTGTCCTGTGGTTTTAAGTTTAAAAATGTTAAAGGAAATGTCTCATCCTCCGAGCTAAAGAGGATGTGGACCATCTAGACTGCAAATTTCTCTGATGTGTGGTGGGTTACATCAATGCTTGTGACATGTGTGTAGTTATCTTTTGTAAAGGCTAAACTTGTGCTGCCACCCAGATAATATAGTTTTGAGGAAAGGTTTGGCTTATGAAAGCAGGAGATCGCAGAACACATGTACAGCTTATGACAGCCGGGCTTGATAGTAAAACAGTACAGCTGCTAAACTGGACGTGTCACGCACATATTTTGGCATATTTACCATAAAAGAAACTCAGAAGTGTCGAGCAGCTGAAATCATTTTACTATAAAGCTGTGAGAAATTAGTCTTATTGCTTTTTTGAAAGAAAAGTTAATGCAGTGCACTTTTTATTTAACATTTAATATGTAGTGTTTGTGGATGTAGTGTTTAAATTATTGAATTATTGTTTTTATTTACATTTTACATAGAGTGACGATACTTTCATAACATTTTTTCTTTTTTATTATTTTTTCTTTTGCAGTTTGCTTTAATAACTTCGTCTTTAGGCCTCAGTTGTCAACAATGATTTCATCAGTCTTTGTGTTTTGTGCAGACGTGGAGGTTTGCCTCTCCGCTCCACGTGTTTCTTGAAGTTTGTCGATATCTGAGTGAAAGTTGCAGGGCAGGTATTATTGCAGATGTCATGGGAGAGTGCACATCAGGCAACATCTGAACGGCGGCACATCGTTAATCATATGAAGCCTGTCCTCCGCGACCCTGTCCTGTAATTTGTAGAACCTTTAACAGTGTTAACTGTCCTGTTTTATGAGCCCTCCACTAATACTGAAGTGCGGAGATAAATCACCTCAGCACGCAGTCCGTGGCTGCATTTTGGAATTGGCTGTGTGTGCATTGACCTGCGGAGAGGCGGATGAAGGGGAAATGGGGCAGGAGATGGAGCGGCGGGGTCGACTGCAGATATGAAGACTGTCTGTGTCCAGAGGGTTAAAAGCTGGTCCTTTTTATAAATCAGATTTATGTCCACTGCCGTCAAAGCATTGTTGAGCAAGATAGCAAATCCTCAGCTGTTCTGACCTTTAGTAGCACGTCTGTACGTATTTTAATTATTATGAGACATTTATGGATAAAGACTTTCCTTGCTAAACTGTACGTGATTCGGCAGCTAAAACACTTTTTAAAAATTCACTGGGCTGCGATGGATTATAGTGCAAAAAGAAGAAGAAAGAAATTAAATGAATTCACAATTTTAAAGAAAATCTGATTTTGAAGGCTGATTTAAGTCCTTTGGTTTCCTGCTCATATCAGGTCAGCAACAACCAAGATGACTGCATGGAAATACTAAAAATACATTTTCCTAATTATGATGAGATTCCTGCTGATGGACAACGATGCAACCTACACAAGCTGCCGATGATGTCACTGGCATTTATGAATCTGCGTTGTGCATTATGTGTTAATTACCGTTCGGTCATGTCCCGCTGATTTATGCATGGAGCAAGTGTCGTGTTCAGTCTCCAGGAAGTACTGGAGAATGACTATTGTTTAAAAAGATTTAATGTGCTTCGCCAGTTGAAATTAAAAGTTACAGCACTGGACCTCTCTGTGAAATCAGCCATCTGTCTTCACAGAAAGGATGATCCCGGATGGAGCCGTGCAGTTTTATACCCCAACAAAAACAAGTATTTGTCCAGAAGCGATGTGGTGGGCTGGCTGTTTCCCTACGAGTCTTCTCTCCGACCTCGTATCTGCTCCTTCCTGGAATAACAGAAACAGGAAAAGAAAACACCTCCCTGCGTAGCCTTGATTATAAATCTCTTATTGATTCTATTTATTATCTAAGTTCGCGACATTCTGTTCAGACTCCCTTGGGCGAGTAAATATCATCCTGAGTGTTAGCTAGTTATGATGTGTAAGCATGCTGCAAAAAAACCTTCTGGACTCTACATCAATCACAATATTTCGATTCAATGATAACACTGAATGAAGCTTCCGCCCTTCAAAACATGGAGTTCCAACTCTTTAATGATCCCATCACAATGTGCATATAAAAACCAGCTTAAATAATTTTAATCCTAACACCAGCCGATAGAAACAAATAAAAAGCTGGGACATCTTTCCCTCCTCTGCCTCTTTGCTGTGATTAGCTTTTTTCCGTGACAGACATCCGTGTTCCTCATGTTCTTCCATTTATTTGTCCATTCCTTCACATCCATTCCCACAGTTTTAACAAAATCACTCCATGATTATGCCAACATTCGTGAGTCCTTACATTAATGCTGTTATTATTTCTTATATTGAAATAAGTTGTCACTGGTAAATTCAAAACCTGGTGTAACAAAGTAGCTGGACATTGACAGTGCTGAAAAGCTGCGTGACATGCCGTGTGGTTACAGTTTTAGGCAGGTTAGCGTCAGTTTGGACTGTAGGGTTTCACATTTGTTAGTGGTTACTACGTAGCTATGGCGTAGATTTCCCACCGAAGCATAAATCCTCAGTCAGTCTGTATTGCCACAGTAATTCAAACCCCTGTGTTTGTGTTTTTCTCAGGGAGTTCCCGGAGGTCCTGGCTCACCTGGCAGAGATGGTCCCCCAGGATCAAGGGTAAGATACTGACCTGATGTTCAGCTTTGCTGGTTCGTGTTACGCTGCCTGATTTGTTTGGTTGTTGGAAATGTAGAGTGTAGTGTACTGTCTAATGCATGCATTTGGTTAACTACAGTCTGAAATACAGTACATAGGGGTGGAAGTTTTAATTTAATGGGGTGTAAAATACAATTCTGAAAGTGATCATCTAAATAAAAAAGGCACAATGGATGAGATCTGCAAAGATAAAACAGTAAAACAGCTGCATAATCGCTCCGCTGTCATCACGAGAATATGCTCTGATACATGCACTAAATAAGTTTTGAGGAAATATACATAGATTCATTAATATTCATGGCATTTCTTTGTAGTCTCTGTAATATGAAAATCAAAGTTTGCATTCAGATAAATGAGTTAGATAAATAATACCATACAAAAGAAAGAGAACATTTTTTATGGTCCATTTCCAGCTTTGCACAGCGCCTTAATGTCCAGCTGCATTTCTCTGTTTAGTTTTATGTGTCTTCATAAAACCATGCATGTCTTCTCCCAGTTGTTCAGAGCTACATCACCCTGGTTTCATGTAGAGCAGTCACAGTATATGAGATCCAGCACTTTTAGGGCTCTGTGATACCAGCTGGTCTGTAGTTAATGTTGACAGCGGGATCAGGCCTTACAATGCTCAACTGGACTGTAAATACCAAAACAGAAACATAGCCAGAGGGTAATGTATCAGCAAGCAGAAAAAAGGGGGTTTATTCCAAATATGTAACAGAGTCATAGAAGCCTGTTGTCCTGGTCTGGCTCCTGGAAGGGTGACAGTCTTGCGCTTCATCCATCTGCTGTCTCTTTTTTGGCCGACACTTGTCCAAGCACTCATCCCCTCAGTGGTAGTTGTCAGAAGATGTCTTGCATAGTTTTCAGGCTTGTCATGTGGTTTTCTTGAGGATGCTTGCATGTTGGCCAGAGTTTCTTCTCACAGTGCCAGAGAGGTTTGGAGTTCATGAACTTTTAGAAGGAAAACAACCAACTTACATTATAATTTGGTTTAATTAAATCAGTCAGTGACATCTTTGTAAACTTAAAACCTTTTTTTACTTTATCTTTTTGCCACCTGAATTTAAATACAGTATTGAGAAAGTTCAAATTTGAATATCAGAAATTTTCTACAGAGTCAAACTGAATTCACAGTGAAGCTTCCACAAATTGTACAACTCATGCTGACTTAAAGTTGTGTTACACTCAGTACTTATTTATGTAGCACATGACTTTTAAGATTTGAAATGTTGTCGCAAAGCAACATCACACTGTGTACTACTAGAAATGCCACTTTCAATAAAAAACATTTTATTAAGATCTGCAAGCATTTGTGCTTTTGGCCTTATGTTTTTGCTACACTTTCGCATGAATACAATAAATACTGTGGAATACATCTTGAGCCGTCCCTCATTCTTTATTTTTTGCTAGGAAAATGAGAAATGTATTGAAATGTGCAAATGTACATGGATATACAGTATATAAGGCAAAAAAATAGTTTGTATAAGTCTAACAAGCTTGGTAGTCAGTATTTGGCATGATCACTATTATTCTTCAATAAAGCCTGAACTCTCTTAGGCAAGCTATCTTTCTACATGTCATTTAGTGAAATAAGTATTTGATCCCCTACAATCCAGCCCTAATTATGGCTCTCCAAGATTGATTGTAATGTGGCCACAGCCAATTACAGACACTTCTGATCTCAACTCTTTGTATATAAAGCACACGTGTGGAATGGACAAGACCAAAGAGCTGTCGTGGAAACAATTGTAGAAGCGATTGTGGAAACATTATGCTTTGAAGCTGTTTTTCTGTTAAGGGAACAGGACAACCTCACAGCACTGAAGGGCCAAAGGACGGGGCCATGTACTGTAAAAATCTTAGATGGGAACTTCTTTCTGTTTGCTAGAACAGTGAAGATGAGTCATGGATTGGTCTTACACCATGACAGTAACTCAAAACATACCACCAAGGCAACAACTGGCCTAACCAGTCCCCAGACCTCCATCCTATTAAACAAAATCTGTGGAGGGAGCTGAAGCTTTGAGTTACCAAGCAGCAGCCAAGAAACTTAAAGGACTTTGAGGGTTTCTGTGAGGAGTAGTAGGCCAAAATCCTTCCTGAGATCTGTGTAAACCTGGTAACCAACTAAAAGAAATGTCTTACCACTGTGTTTGCCAACAAAGGTTTCTACTTTGGTATCAAATACTTATTTTATTACCTGATATGCAAATCTGTTTATAATTTTATTGTGCTTTTTCTGGATTTTGTTTGATATTCTGTCCATTAAACAATGAAACTACCATAAAGCCATGAAGCCTGTTCATTTCCCCACTGTAATGATGACTACTTGAGACAAAAATTGTAAATTTAGATTCATCAGTCCATAAAACCTGTTTCCACCGATTTTCAGTCCAATACTTGTGTAATTTGGCATACCTTAGCCTTTTCCTGTTTCCTCTCCTTGACAGCCATCCTTCCATCGAGACCATTTTGATGAGGATTTGATGAACAGTAGATGGATGAATTGAAGGCCAGATGCAGCCCTCAGATTTTTTTTTAAGTACTTAAAAAAAATACTGTTCATCTGCTGTAGATAGTTTTTTAGGCTTGCCAGTTCTTCTGTCCACCACGTCTCCAGTTTCCTCAAATTTCTTTCAGGACACATTGCACACCATCCTGATTATATGTCAATTTTTCAGGTAATAGGTCTATGGGAATTATCTCTTTGGTGTAATTGGTCACTGAATTGTGTCATCTTGTTCGTTTGTGTTTTTTGTAGATTCCACTAAAGAAATTAGAAAATAAGCCTGTTTTGACACAGGCTGCTGCAGGATGGCAGGATGTGTAAAGAAAAAATGTTAAAGACTTTCAGAAAGCCTAAAGAAGTTTTGCTCAAATTAAAAGAAAGTTTGGCTCTTTGGAAGAAAATTGTAAAGAAAGAGGGCTAGCTCAAGACTTTTCCACAGTACTGTAAGCACCTAAACAGTGTAAAATCACCTAGTATCTGCATCATCAGCTAATGATGTGCCCATTCCCTTTTCCTCTTCCCACTGCGTAGCCACTCTGGTGGTATTTGTTCACTATGAGTGCACCATACGGGTACTTGTAGAGCACCTCACGTAGATGGATTGTGTGAAGGCTCTTAGGCACTTAACTTGTGTGTAAGGAAGAACGTGAGTTGAGAAACACAGCAAGTGTATCTGTCAGACTGTGCAGCGAATACAGTATAATGATGCGGTCATTTAGTAAAAGAGTCCAGGAAACTGTTGCATGATCAGTAGCAGCACTTCTCAGCTGTCTTAGTACGTTTAAGCCAGTGAACTTAATGCTGACAGGGATTTGTTCTTTTTTTTTTGGACTCAGTTCTTTAATACTTTTAAAATATTAATGCTCTGTTTGATACCACTTGACAGACTAATGTACATCATTTATATTAGAGTGTGCACCATATTGTAATATTTTTAAGCGTTAAAGGCTCTGCAGAGCTGCTACAAATGTGGATCGAGAGTTGGCTTGTGTGTTCAAACGCTACACTACAGACTGCATCCAACAACACTCTGACTGTAATGGAAAGATTTACAATCCAAAACATTGAGTCAGAATACGCTTGGTTTTTCACAGCTGACATTTTGGCAAAAGAAAAAGCTGAAGAATTGCTGTTAAGATAAATCATAAGAGTAAGCAAGCGAGCAAGAGCAACGCAAAGAAAGTAACAGAAACCAAAGCAGCTGTGCTTCCAACGTATGTTTACTCAAAATGTCTTTACATCATCACCTCAACCTGCTAATTAGTGAAGTACAGTTTTCAACTAATTAATGTCATAGTTGCCCTAAATTAACAGCATTATTAATTACCAGAATGTTTTTTTTCTGTTTCTGTAACGATCAGTATGTGCAAGCTCTTTAATCATAATAATAATTTTAATGCTATAATATAATTATTGTTGTCATCCATGAATTTTCAAATTGACTGCTTTACAAAACGGCAGATAGATTAAATAATAAAGCACATTATTATTATTTTTATTAAGATTTCAAATGAAAATCTTTACTGGCATCTGAATATTATGCTTGATTAATTTCTGACTTCTCAGAGAACTCCAGTACGCCAGCTCAAATTTGGCTATAACAACATGAATTCAGGAATTTTTTGTTTTAAAAGGTTTTTGACAGGTTTCTAAAATGACATAATACTGTATATAAAGTTTTCTGAAGCTTCTTAACTAAGCGTATTTACTAAAAACTGATTATGAAACAGTTCAGGATTATAGCTGAAGCAATATATTGAATTATTTCCATCTACAGCTTTTTTCCTCTACAACTACCTACAGATGCTAGGTGTAGGTGTAAGTTCAAAAGGGCAGCTTTTACTTGAGGGGTTTAGTCTGCGAGCGGCTGGTCCAACACAGCTAACAAAATGAGAATGAGTGTCAGAAACAAGGCCAGACACACACAGGCCGCTTGACACATTGCTCTAACGCTGTCTGGCAGAGGAAGATGAAAACAGCTTGAATACACTGAGGGGGGGCAATTAAACACAGGTGCAGCTCATTAGGGTGGAGCGCACAATCACAAAGGTAGGAAATGCACCAGAGCAGGAAGTATCTGAAACAACAGACACGGGGAGCTACGAAATCTAACAGGAAATTACAAATATAATCAACAGTTAAAAACATAATTTTGGAGCCCTGGTGGGACATCGCAATCACCAGCCTGCACTGTATCATACACTCAAGGAATACCGTGTTTACCAACCTAATTATTGAGTGTAATCGTGTTCAATTACTTTTCAGGAAGCAATTTTAGCTGCTCTCGATTGGAGAGGCGTCCCCTCTGCGCCACTGTGCATGACTGACCTCCCACATTAATATTTCATCAACATGCTACAGATCTGCCGTGAATTTTATGTTTTTAAAAATAACCCACGGTGCACTGGTGTGTAAACTCGCAAATTGTTAATGAGAATTCAGTTTCCATGCAAATAGAGAAAATATCTCTAATCAGTGCTTTAATTGCTGTGGAATTAAATCCAGCAGTGCTCTCAGGCTGAATGCATCCAAAGAAGGAGGGAATAGCGATAAATATCAGTTCATCAGATGTTATCGATGCAACAGCAATTTCTGATATCAACAGTCATTTAACTGCAATGTAGAAAGGAAGCTTTTACCAATTGAGCAGTAATTAGAAAAACTTAATAGCCATTCACAATGTGTGTGGTACTTTTGGGATTAGCAATAAATGGGGATTTACACCAGCCATCAGCCTGTATCATCCAGTGTGTACAATGCAAGCTAGGGAAAGCAGATGATCCTTTCCTGATACAGTCAAAGTATCAGTATCACTCTCCTCCTATGGGCATACACACAGTACAGAAGTCTTTAAAAGGTGTATATAAGCCAAAGATAGCCTGGCTTGGAGAAAAAACAAACACAAGTCTGCCTAAAAGTGGACTGCTGCCAGTTAGAACAGATGAAACAACAGCAACTGTCTCCGAGGTACTTTATTTGTTCGTAATATTGCAGAGAAATGGATCAAGCAAAGCTATAAATCTTTATTTTGTCAAAGTTTCCCAAGAAAACTCAGGAGAAAACTAAGTTGATCCAAGTTTTCCCCAAGATCCAGGCTCATGAAAACCTGATGAAATTCTTTTGAGGGCCATCACTTTGGCTCGCACATTTATTATTTGGGCTCTACCGGTGACTTATAAATTATCCAACACTGCACACCCGTCTGTGTCCTCGCAGGACTTTGCATAGAAAGTTTAAAATTAATACAAAGACTTTTTAATAGAGGTTACAAAAACAGAGCCTGTGCACTGTTTATGGATATTATGCTGCAGTTAGATTAGGCTCCCCACAGTTTCTCAGACTATAGCCCTTAAACCTGCAGCTGCTCTGATTCTGAAATGCAACAGCAGTGATACATTTTCATGAGCCTGACCTCTGTGAGAAAAGGCCGGAGACTGAATTTCTTATTTGAACCTCAGAGACAGAAAAGGAAAAATCGGGATTGCACTATAGCTGTAACTGATGATGTTTGTGTATACATTAGACATTATATTAGTGCTGGATGGATACATCCTTACTATACTTGCATTAATGAAACATTTTGTGTGATTAAATGGTGAGTATTTAGTGCGACTGCTGGCGGACTTCTGCCCAGGACCTCAGCAGATTTGCTTCACAAAGATTTGAATTCTTGTTGCTCCTCATTCGCTTCTGCTCAGACTGAAAGGATTTCAAAGTAAAATGTATTCGACATTTTCAGGCATGACTACTGGGAGGATCTGAGGCCCTCTCCAGAGTCCCATTAGTGGGTTGACGAGTGTTTACTGTGTGACACCAGAGTAACTCTCGCTGAAGAGTTTTCAGATGTCTCATCCCAGCTCAGCTATTTCAGAGAAACTCCGGCATATCTTGTTGTGCAATAAGTGCAGATTTTGTTGTGCTGTCACAAACTGCTTATATTTATTTGAAAGGGTGACAGTTTAACTTTGGTGACAGTAGGATGTAGCCCCACTGGGGAGTCTTCATTTGTGTCATACTCTCCATGTTTATGTCGCTTTGTTGTTATTAATGGATGGCTTCCCCTCACAAAGGTTAATCTGAGTCTGTTAAGACTGAAGGGGACTCGGTGTTTAACCACAAAGTACATCCAAACTGGAATGAAAGGATTAGCTTAACCTCAGGTTAAGCTGTTCTCCAGACCACTCCGATGCCGTGTTCAGCGTCCAAACTGTGTATTAATAACAGGGAATTTGTTCAATTCGAATTACAACTATATTTTGACATAAAACAAGTCCACCATCATGTCATTTAAAATCATGTTATTATATGCGGGCATTCAGAAAATTGGCCTACACAATTTCAGTGTGCTTCTGATGTAAAAACTGTGCTTTTGAAAAAGAATCACCGCATAGTACATAAATGTATCATGCATGAAGTGGTAGAGGTGCATTTAAAATCACAATAACAATCACCTAAAGGTTTATATTGTAAGGTTAAGATCCTGCAGCTATAAGCGAGCACTTGGTAACAGTGGGAAGAAAAAAATCCCTTTTCACAGGAAGAAACCACCAGCAGAACCAGGCTCAGGGAGGGGCGGGGCCATCTGTCAGGACCGGTTGGCAGTAAGGGGTGAGGATAGACAAAAGACGCAGTGTTGAAGTGAGTCAGGGATGAATAATAACTTATGATTAAATGCAGAGCGGTGTGTAAAAGTAAAAGAGAGTGAAAAATGATAAAACCGTGTTTTGTATAAAATGAAAGTAGATTTGATTTGGTGTGTGCAGTTACAGCAGCAGAAGCTGCAGATGCAACAGCGTTTGGGTTCCCAGAGAAGCCCACAGGAATTAAAAGAGTGCAGCCGACTTTAATAAGTGTACTGTATTTCACTCATGCAGGGTCTGCCAGGTAATACTGGACCACAGGG